GCAAAATAATTTAGCTATAAATGTTTTCGGACATTCTAAAGGAATTGTTGTACACAGGATAAGCTCCGCTCCGGAACATATCCCCAGAATCAATTCATTTCTGATCGAAAAAGATGGAAAATATCATTATACATGGATAAAGAGTTTAAACAGGCTATTATACGATCAAACAAAACATAAGGAAAAGAAATGTTTCTGCGAAAGATGCCTACATGGGTACAGCAGACAAGATCTATTAGAAGCGCATAAAGAAGACTGTAGAGGTGTTGGACAGACCGCTATCAGGATCGATATGCCTAAAGAGGGAAAACATATATTAAAATTTGAACATTATTGTAATCAAATGCCAGTACCATACATAATTTACGCCGACTTCGAAGCGCTTAACAAACCCATAGAAAATACTGAACGCAATACTGATAATAGTTTTACGTACAAAACTCAAGAACATATTCCTTGTGGGTTTGGATATATAGTTGTAAGGTATGATGGGAAAACAAACACTCCCGCGATTTACAGAAGTCCCGATGCAGCGGGAAAGTTCCTAGAATATCTACAAAACGAAGAGAGAATAATCAGGGAAAAATTATCGTGTAAGAAACCCATGTGTATGACGAGGGATAATTGGAGGGCCTATAAGAAGTCCACGAGTTGTCATGTTTGTAATAAACCCCTGAATGGGGATTCCGTAAGAGATCATTGCCACATCACGGGTAATTATCGGGGAGCCGCGCATAACGAGTGTAACTTGAAACTAAAAATGAATTTTCAAACAATACCCATCCCCGTTGTGTTTCATAACCTGAGGGGATACGATTCACATCTCATCATGCAAGCTATCTCAAAGACCGATGGCAGTTTAACGTGCATTCCTAATAATATGGAAAAATACATATCGTTCTCGTTGACTAAACCTATACATTATAGGGACAAGGATGGGAAATCTAGAATAAAGCAAAGTAATGGGCTTAGATTCATAGACTCCGTACAGTTTCTGTTATCTTCCCTGGACAATTTAGCTAATGCGAACAATCCCGATGACTTTGGGATAACAAATCAATATACCGATAAGATACCTCGTCATTTGTTGCTGAGAAAAGGTGTATATCCTTACAAATATATGGATGATTGGTCTAGATTCGAAGAAACTGAATTAGCACCCCTCGAATCATTCTATAGTAACTTAACAGAATCTAAAATAACAGATGCCGTTTATGAACACGCTCTGACGGTCTGGGATAAATTAGGTTGTAAGAATTTAGGCGATTATCACGATCTGTACTTAAAAACCGATGTACTGTTACTCGCCGATATATTCAAGATATTTAGAAAGACATGTTTAAAACAATACGGCTTGCCCCCGGCATGGTACTATTCCAGTCCCGGACTATCGTGGGATGCATTGTTGAAGAAGACCGGAGTAGAACTAAAACTACTCACAGATTACGATATGCACTTGTTTATTGAGAAAGGATTAAGAGGTGGTATATCGATGGCAGCTAAAAGGTATTCTAAGGCTAATAATAAATTAGTGGAAGGATATGATCCCAGTAAACCCAATACTCACATATTATATCTCGACGCTAACAATTTGTACGGATGGGCTATGAGTCAACCTTTACCCACGGGTGGTTTTGAGTGGGTCGATGATATCGATGTGAATGATGCAGGGGTCCGGAAAATTTAAAATCCCAATCGGACATTTGCATTTGGGCCACGTCCCTTAAAATAGCGTATTTTAGTACGACTTTTCACACACATTACAAGTTGTTAGATCTACGTATTCATAATATGATGAATTATGAATTGTTTCAATTAAAATTGTTTAATTCACCGGACAATTAATAATAAATAATATCATTTTAGATATATATGGAAAACATACGTTTGTTTCTGTTATAATAACGATCTGTTAACGTAGTGAACGGTCTGATTAATATTCATGAGTTATATTCATGAGTCTGCTCAAGTGTACGCGTTGTAACATTTGGATCGAGACTATTATCCCATATTTGGTTATGACGTGACCTCACGGGAAAAGGTTTTTTTTCTAACTAAAGATTATTTAAAAACAAGACAGATAATAATATCACAAATACTAAAATATCGTTGATAGCAATAGTTATTTGAATACTTTTTTCATCTGTACTTAATTATTGACCATAAAGAAAAATTGATATCGATCGTCACAGAAAGCAAAATGGCGGTCAATCAAGATTCAATATACGACTAGCTACTGAAAACAATAAAATCTGCAAATCCTCATTGTATGTCAACCAAGTGAAAGTCGTTAGCCACGACTTACAAAATGATCGTCCAGACTTTGAGGGTTTGGCAGATCCGCTCGACTGATCTGCATCGGTCGGCTGACTGTCGTCACGCTTTTCGCTTCTTTTCTGAGGTTACGTATCGTAGCATTGTGAGGATAATGAGGTACATCGATGATGCAATGTATTTATATAAAGTTGTTAACACCTTTCACTCAAATTAACAAGATGTTCTCAGTATTTAATCCTCGATTAATCAGTGTCAACTCTGTTTAATAGTATTACAGTGATTGACCGATTGGACTATCAAGTAGGTTCGATGTATTTACAGCAATCAAACAAACAAAGCTTGTCAGTGTAGATAATCTTCATTGTGTAACAAATGCAGACAGAAACTGTTGATCATGTCCGGTCAAAATTTAAGAATGTCCGGACAATACTTTTTAAAATGTCCGGACAGAAAAATTTAAATGTCCGGTAAGCAATATTTTAAACCGGACTTTTGAGATTCCCAATAGGACATGTCCGGCACATATGACGATTTCCGGACCCCTGGAATGATGTGAATAAAGGGTACATACTAGAAGTTGACTTGGAATATCCAAGTTCGTTACATAAAGATCATAACAGTTATCCGCTAGCTCCCGAAAGATTAATGATTAATAAAGATTGAATGTCGGAATATCAACGCTCCTTGATGGGTAATACTAGGTTAGCTAACATAGAAAAACTCGTACCAAATTTGATGGATAAGACAAAATATATAGTTCACTACAGAAATCTCCAGTTGTATCTATCGTTAGGTATGAAACTAAAGAAAATACACAGAGTTCTAAAGTTTGATCAAAGCCCTTGGATGGAGCCCTATATAAGGTTGAACACAGATTTAAGAAAGACCTATGCTTATGGTTATGGTGGTAATACCGTACCGTCGGGAACTATGAACAACCCCCATGTACAAATGCCCTACCCGGTCCATCTTGAAGATAATAAAGAATAGGCTCTCCTTCTTTCTTAACCAATCTACTAATGTTATATGTCTTAAGAGACCAAATCGGATCGGTTGCACGACGTAGGCCTCCTTTGAGTTCACCGGGCTGGTATAAATATCTTACCCTTACTCTATCCGGAAGTTTTCGTTCTTTGCCTCTCCTCGGTGCTGAAGAATCGGAAGTCACGGATTTCATTTTAATAGCATCGGATGGTTTCTTCCCGATTATCTCGTTACTTCATTATTCAGCGCTGATACAACAACTGAGAATCGTGTCAGCCATTCGGTTGATCTCAATAGCTCGGATTTCATTTCGATCCCATACTGATAACAAAACAATCGTTCCGCTAATGTCCTGTTAAATCTTTCGACGATAGCTTGACTACGGTGGGCCTCTCTTTCACCACGCCTGATTTCGACATCGTGCTTTGTTATCAGTTTAGTTACCGATCCCATAAACTCGCGACCGGGATCTACTTGAAATAGCTTAGGCCATTTTAGTGATCCGCGTTTATATATGCGGCTCAGTGCATTAGCTACTTCTGTTGAATCTTTCGAGGTTAATGGCTCAGCCTCTTTGTATCGACTAGCCACATCCACTACTGTTAAAGCGTATTTATACGTTTTGCGTTTTACCTTATCGTGGGGAAGAAACAAGAGGTCAGCCTGATGAACTTCATTCGTTGTAAAAATATCAAACTTCTTCCTCGGTATATAACGCGGTGCCGGTAAATATATTTGCCACATCGCTTGTTTCTTTAACCAATCCTTGGCCACATCTTTAGATACCTTAGCCGCGGTGGCTAATTTTTTTATTGCTCCTATACCTTTCCAATATCCTCGTGGGCTATAGTAAATTTTATTCATTATTAATTAATATTTCGTTTAATACAACTCATGACTATCACTGAATCGCATGATCATTTTGGCATAAAAAATGCCACCTGTAGTGGTGGTATAGGTATATAAATCTGGCTCAAGTGGAGTTGCGGCAGAACCCCCATTACCTATACTACTCCAGGACTGGCTCTTCTGTTCATCTGTCCGGTACTCCCAAAGGAGTTAGAACTTTGACCATAACATGCAAACCTATATTATCCCTACCCTGCAATAAACCGATACATTGTATACATTTGTTTGTTATGAAGAGAATAATACATTTATGCCAATAGGATTTGCCCTGGGGTTCAGCCTTGCCTCTGGAATCTTGGATCATAACATGGAAACAGTTCAGATCTTTATGCTACATTTGTATCTAGAGAAATACACGTTCATGCTGTCAGATCCCCTTATATTAAATGCTGACAGAGTCAAAATTATGAAATATTTACAGTATTATATACATGTACAATGCAAATGTATATTTTGTCATGATCGCGTAAATATCCAGGTGAGCGATACAGGCCCTATGGACCTCTTGTTGTTGATATACAACAGCTTATTGAAGATAACAGCTTAAGGGATGTGTGAGTGAGATGTGTAAATGCAGATTAGGGAGAATCAATTACAGGATAAATTGTTTATTTTACCAACAATTTCATCAATGGCCATGAACATGAATACTAGTTTTCAGGTGAATTAGCTTCAGTCCCTCTAACCTTTGCTCTTTACATATTTTGAAACACACTCTTTTGCAAATCATGGTATGATGCAGAGCGTTGAATGATCTTTGGGACAGTTGTGATGTTACAAGTTAATGTAGCTATGCTTAGATACTAATCGTATGATTATTTCTTCTACAGAATGAATTTACTGAACTGCACAACTCTGAAATCTGGACGTCTTCAGTTCACAACACCAAGTATTCATATCAGAAGTACCGGTAAGTAGAATTGTTGACCTGGTTAGTTCAGGTTTGATGCTTTTCTTTGTTTATGAGGTATGAAACAATATTCTAAGCTTAATTCAAATCATTCTTGCTTTCTAGTGTACTCTATTTCCATTCTATCATGATAAATACCATGTACCCATTCACAACCAAGGCTTTAGTTTCAGAAGTGAACAACAGCTCTATATTTAGTTATCCCCCGCCGCGCGAAAGCCAGTCGGTTTTGGTGACCTTGATCCCATTTTCAAGGTCACAGCAGACAAATCTGCTTTTAGAGTTGGAAAACGGTGTTGCCGCGATATCTCAAGAACTAAACACTGGATTGTCTTCATATTTGGAACTATAGTGTATATACAGACTCCGCAGACACCAGTCGGTTTTGGTGACCTTGATCCCATTTTCAAGGTCACAGCAGGCAAATCTGCTTTTAGAGTTGGAAAACGGTGTTGCCGCGATATCTCAAGAACTAAACCTCTCGATTGTCTTCATATTTGGAACTATGGTGTATATACAGACACCGCAGACACCAGTCGGTTTTGGTGACCTTGACCACATTTTCAAGGTCACAGCAGGCAAATCTGCTTTTGGAGTTAGAAAACGGTGTTGCCGCGATATCTCAAGAACTAATCGCTGGATTGTCTTCATATTTGGAACTATAGTGTATATACAGACACCGCATACACCTGTCAGATTTGGTGACCTTGACCCCATTTTCAAGGTCACAGCAGGCAAATCTGTTTTTGGAGTTGGAAAACGGTGTTGCCACAATATCTCAAGAACTAATCGCTGGATTGTCTTCATATTTGGTACTATGGTGTATATGGCGGGGGATATTTCGTCACTCTGTGACAAATACTTGTTTTACTTGTTACGGAATATTATTCCCTCATGAGCTTGAAATCAACAACCTATCAAAATGACTCCTCTAAAAGAAAGTTTTGGTATGTTATTTTGAAATTGAGTGAGTCATCATATCATTCAATCTAATCAGAAGACAGTTAAGAATAAATTTTCAACTTCAAAATATGGTTTCTTTTGTGCACTAAAACTGTTGAATGGGATATGGAATGTTGGCTTTTGGGGCTCTTTCAGGAAGAATCAGTTTGCTATTTAATTCTATATGGAGAATTCTTTACCTGCATGAATTTTATTTGATGATAAATAGTGATGTAATCAGAGTACACAGGTCTGTTAAACATGAAATGTTAATATCTTCTAATTAAGCACAGATATGTTTGCTTTTGCTGTCTTTGGCAATATCATTGCTTGGATTTGCAGTTAACTATCTTCACTGATAAGTGGGGGCACGGGTGGCCCAGTCGTCTAAGGTGCCGCGTTCCCTTGGGCACACCAGAAACCTATAATTCTTACAAAGCTTTTACCTTCTGTGATGATCAATAAAGTATATAATTTTTATGAAACTTCTACCTTTATTACATCTCTGCCATAAATCCTGTATTTTGGCTTCAATCACACCAACTAAAATTTTCAGATTTTCAAAAGACGTCCTCTTCACTGTCAATCACACATTTAGTTGTCGCCAAGTATTCTCGTAACTACCCAAGCCATGATGTCATAATGGGGCCAACGTCACTTTTTTCCTGTGTGTGCTAGTCCTTGGTAGTAAGTCACATTAACCTGAGATTATTCTAATAAGTTTTCTATAATAACAGACATATAAATGAATATATATCTATAAAGTAATAGTGCTGCTGGAAGAGACAACACACACGTGAGTATAGACTACCAGATCTCAGTCCACAGCCGTAGGCCATTCAACACAAGATCAACAGGCTGAGCCGCACGGCCAGCCCATGGACCAGTCATCAAGTCACCCAGCTGGCCAGCCAGCACCAGACCACCCGGGTATAAGCCAGCAGGCTTTCATCCAGAAAACAATAATGTACGGAAGCCGCATGGTATCCATGAAGGGAAACCCAAGGCTACTCTGAAGTGGAATGAGAGGATTTTGAGGAGACTGATAACTCACCAGGATTACATCGAAGGCTATACTTTTGTGGAACTGATTGAAGAACTTTATCACGTTATGCCTACACTTTGGCCACATGTGACAGAAGATTCACCACCCCAGATGTCTGAATACGGGGGATGTCATGTGCCTGCTCCTTCTCAAAATATTCATCACACATTACCTTGGCCCAGTTACGCTTGCAAGGTTGTAGACCAGTTTAACGGATAACATTCACAGGCTCAAGCATGATGAACGACTACCTGTTCCACCTTTGAAACGGAAGTTATACAAGACACACAATGCTACACTTCCAAACATCCCAAGCTTGGATGAAGATTTCTACAAATTAGTGTGCAAATAAGTGTTTTATCAGCATCACGTTTCAAGGATCTGACATTGGTCTCCAGATACCCTATGGATATCGGAGCATATATGTTCGTCTCCGTAATCAGACACATCATACTGCCTTTACAACCATCCTATGAAGGAATTGCGCGGGAAATACCCATGACTATTAGGACTAAGCCACAGCTTCCTTGACTCGATTGGCAAGATGCAGGAAGACTTACTCTCATCCCAAGTCTGATCTTCTACACAGTTACTGAGACTACAGCGACAACAGCTCTTAGCCCAGATTAGATCAAGGGCCGTATCTAACCAGACCAAGAGGTTCATGACGTTGCAGCCGTTATCAGCGACCACAACTTTCATCGGGAAGCTTAGAAACGTAACAGATGAAGTGAAACAAGACACAGCCGAGGGTTTCCAGACTTCCTTGTGGAAGATCGGGAGGCAGAGGGGAAAGAAAATTCTTACTTCCTTACCACCCCTTCCGACATTATAGACCCCTTCGACCTAGTTACGTCTATGGATTGCGATTTACGCCTACCATCTTTCAACATAACACTGACTTCGGGCCAGTGGGAGGGCGCCTTCTGTCATACACCAAAAATTGGAAGCAAGTTACGCCGACCACTGGATTCTAGACGTTGTGGCTCATGGTTACAAGTTACACTTCAGGAAACATCCGAGCCGGAACACACACGTCGTGGATCGAAGATTTCACCTGACCGGAGCCAAGTTAGCAGCTGCAGAATTGGCCGTCAGGAAACTACAAAAGAACAAGCCATTCGGAACCTAAAGGTGACCAACAACACCAAAGCTTTTATACAACCGAGATGATGATGATCATAGATGTAAAGACCCTCAACAAGAGATATCTGGTGCCTCCACCAAAAGTCCATATGGAAGTTACGGTCGATGTTGAAGAAGGGAGACTGGATCAACAAATGCATATCTTCACGTCCCGATACACCCATCATCTTGGAAATATCTACGCTTCGCAATCAATGGCTGATGCTAAGAATTCCGAATTACGAAGTCCTACCATTCGGGATAGTAATAGCACCTTGGCTATTCACCAGGATTACAGCACCAGTCATCAAGTTTGCCCATTTCCAGCTAGTTCGAATCCATGGTTATCTGGACTATTTCCTAGCGGCAAACCAAGGAAAAGATCAGCTCCATCAGAACATGATACTCTTGGTGCAACTTATGACATACCTAGGCTTTCTAGTCAACCCAGCCAAGTCAGAGATCACTCCGGTCCGAGACATTCTATACATTGGAGTAAGATTCTACCTAGACAGGGGATATCTATGTCCACCAGAGGATCGACTCAACAAGACTATAAAGATGATCCTATCACTCTCAAGTCAATTCAGCAAATCGCTGAGGTGGTGGATGTCTCTGCAAGGCAACTTAACATCTCTACAGGATATGACCTTCAGAGGAAGGCTGAGGCTATGTCCGACACCAGCAGCATCATTAAGCAGAAATAGATATGAAATGACATCATTATTACGATCAAGATCAGCAAATATAATTGTAAATCTTGTGAAAATAAAACATATTTGACTGATTCTTGACACATTTCTGATTTTCAAGTCCTAAAGCAGAATTTCTGAGGAAATTATCTCAAGTAGGATTAGAATCTGTAATAATGGTTTCCAGAAGAGGATTGCCACTGGGTCCCTCTGGTATATTCTTGCAGAGATGTAATAGAGGTGGAGATTTCCAAAGAATTATCAAACAATAGTTATCATTAAGAAGAGGGGGCACAGGTGGCCCAGTCGTCTAAGGCGCCGCAATTCGCTGTGCAGAGTTGCGTCCCTTGGGCACGCAAGAAACCTATGATTGTGGGTTCGAATCCCGGTTCGCCCCGATTATGTTTCTAGGTTTGTCAGCACCATACCCGTGCTCGTGGGTTTCACCGAAGTGGTAAACGTCTGAGACCTGCATCATTTCGGGCTTTCCTCCCACATTAAGCTGACACGCCGCAATATAACTGGAATACTGTTAAAAGCGGCGTTAAACCCAACTCACTCACTCACTCACTATCATTAAGAAGAATACTACCTCTATTACATCCGAAGTACTCCCTCCCACCTCCCCAATTCATCTACCTCTAGTAGTAGATGAGGGACAAAAAGTGATGTTGCCGCCATTATGACGTCATGGTTTGGGTAGTTACGAGACTACTTGGCGACAACTGGTTGTGTGTGTAATTGACAGTGAAGAGGACATCTGTTGAAAATCTGAACATTTTAGTTTGTGTCATTGAAGCCAAAATACAGGATTTATGGCAGAGATGTAATAGAGGTAGTATTCTCAGAATTATTAACAATGATAACTATCATTCGATGTCTAATGAAATTAAGAATGAGCTTTATCTATTACAATCATCTCATCATGTCAAAGCAAACTGGACATTGACACAGCAATGTTAATACTTTATAGAGATTGAAATTAGTATAAATATATTGTTTTCAATTTATAAGATGAAAAATTGTAGTTAGTATAAGTAGCGATGAATATACATATTTAAACTAATATATAGGTTTACATACTGACAAACTTTTATTTACGTTGCATGAGATCTTCACATTTTGTGTACCGCATTGCCTTATAGCCGCTGTAGTAAACTGCATGCATATGGCCTGATTGTTGATTATACAACATA